AAAAAAAAAAAAAGCTAGCGACACACGACTCTGTTCAAATCTCTGCTCTGTAACCTGTGCTGGGTTGTCCAATGGACTGGGCTCTGGACCTAAACTCTGCTGAAACCCTGAAGCATGGCTTCGAGTTTCCTCAGGGAGTTGGTCCCTACATTTGCCTTTTGCTTCATCTTTCTACTGGAACCAGTCTTGACAGTTCATGGAAAACCCTAAGCAAGACCTAAATTACAAGAAGTTGTAGTTACAGACGGTAGAGAATCCAGGTGTGTGCCTTGCTTGTCGGGTCAGCACTTGAGAAAGAGCAGATTTACAGCAGAGACGTACACGTGAGGGGAGTGGCAAGCTCTCACCTACATTTTGTGCACATTGTGCATTTGCGGGGACCTAAAAGTATGTCCGTGTTGAACATTTTGGACGTTATGAAATGGATTCATGTGGCAGGGGTCTCACTTTATTCATTTCAGTGTCCTGAAAAGTCACTTGCCCAGGTGGAGCACTCATTAAATATTTATTCATTTGCAGCTTCAGTCAGACCATTGCCCTCTTTGCCCATCAGATTCCTCCCTGCCATGCAGACATGATACTGGTACCGATTTCTCTTACATTTCAGTAATGACCAGAAATAAAATCAATATGAATTGATTTCCAGCTCAGTATTTGCGACTACACCTGTCGACTTTACCCTCATATAATTGACTTTCTGGCCGCCCTCCACAACTGGAAACAGTCCTTATGATGCATTTCTGAAACAATATTATCCCTCAAGAGGGCTATGGGCTTTGTTCGTTTTCTTGTCACCCTCTAGTCTGTGAGCACTTGTGCTAAGAGTTCTCTACTTAGAGCTACAAGATGAATCTGGAAAGTGCTAGCACAACATGGCACTGAGGAATGCAGGGAGGGGAGACAGAGTTTCTGGGCCATGCTATCGTAGGCACATGGGAAACTAGGTTAACTTTCCTCTTGCTGTCCTTCTCCCTCCTTTTCCATGTTCCTTGACTCCTTAATAATATTTTCCTTAATCCGAATTTTCTGTGTTCTCTCATGCCTCCAGTTTCTTTTTTTTCTTTTTAGTCTAACAATGCTATTGATGAATGCCCTCCAGTTCTAAAAAGACAGCCCCTCCTGGGGAGGTGTCGTGATATGTGAGTTCTGCTTTTCTCTTGGATTTTAAACAGGTGCTCACTCATAATGTCTTCATGGACAAGCTTTATTATGTCCATCTTCATTCATTTATTTGAAGTATATTCATTTGGTGTATATTCTCTGATTTTCTACATCTAAATAAATGGCTCATTTAAGTCCTAGGATATTGTTCTATAAACCCTGATCATTTCACTCCGAGTTCAGGAGCTGTCATCCTATTTTTGTGCTGTGACATCTTTCCTCCAATACGATCTCCCCAGAATTAATGGGTATGAAGTCACAGATAGACAGGAAGAATAAGTTCTGGTGTTCCAGGCTGACTATAGCTATAATATTATATTGTACATTTCTAAATAGCTATAAAAGAGGACCTTGAATGTAATCATCACAAAGAAAAGATAAATGTTTAGGTGATGGATATGCTATCTTTCCTAAGAGAATCAGCGTATAATACACATATATTGAAACAATGCACTTTAGCCCACAAATATGTACAATTAAAAATAAGTTAAAAAATAGAATCTTCCCAATTACATCATATTCACCGCCCCCATTGGCAGCCTTCTTTTTTAGTTTATTTTTTAATTGAACACATTGCAATTGTTCATATTTGTGGGGTACAATTTGATGTTTCTATACATACGTATGTTGTATAATGATCAAATCTAGCTTTTTTAACTCCCCTATTATTTTCTCAGCTGCTGTAACCCTTCTGAGGCAGGTTTCATCCACTCACATCAATACATCCAGTACTGGTTAGTACAAGTACACGTGTCCTTGAGGGCTCAAGGATTTGAGGGAATGTTCTTTTCCTTTTTTTTCTTACCAACATCCATGCTCGGCCCAGAGTACTCTTGAGTGAGCAAGTATATATACACTTGCCATATAGAGTTTGCTATTATGTAATGACACATCTGGTACTAAAAGCTGACATGTGCTGGGTGGGGCAGAGAATACAGAAGCTGAGGGCGACAGTAACAGGCCCTAAAAAATGACAGAGACAGACTGACTTTATCGCCTGCCCCACCCTAGCAGTTGAGAACACTCTTTCTCTGGTTTCTGACATCCTTTGGGAACATGCCTCTAGATCTTCTTGGATTTGAGGAACTCGGCCTCCTGGACCACATACTCTGCATGACCAGCAGTGGCAATCAGTTTTAGAAGAATCGTGTGAACATGGCAACGTGAAAGACACCAGCCAATCGTAAGACCCATTATTGCCAGCAGCACTGGGCTTGTTCTGGGTACATTCATCTCTCTACTATGTCTTTTAGAAGAATCGTGTGAACATGGCAACGTGAAAGACACCAGCCAATCATAAGACCCATTATTGCCAGCAGCACTGGGCTTGTTCTGGGTACATTCATCTCTCTACTATGTTTTTTTAATTGAAAAATAAATTGCATTCATTTCCCCCCAGGGTTTTCTAACACACCAAAAATAAATTACAGAAAGGAGAAAAAAGCATTAAACAGTAATTCTGCCAGCTGTAAACCTTGCACTATTTATTTTGAAAAGCAATTTAATGTCAGATGAATATAAAGCATGGTACTATAAGGCTGTGGTTGCACAGATAAACTGTCTCCATTATGATGAACTTCTGGTTCTACAACCAGCTAATAAATTAGTAATATGAATGTCCGAAATGATTACAGAAGATGCTGTTGGTTTGTAGCATTTTCTTCCTCTCTCCCTCCAAGCTCAGGCAAAGATGTGCAAATCTTGGACAGAATTTACCACAGGTAACAAAGACCATCCTCATTGGATTCCATATGGCTGACCACAGTCAGGTCCTGGTGATCTGTCTTGCAGAAGAGAGTCCTTGCTTCTATCCCTAGGCTAA